AATGTGGATGTTGAAATTTAGTCTGAGAGATCTGTGGTCGACAATTACCTCTCTGTAGAATTTCCCTTCTTCATTTTCATAATCTGCAGAGGGTGGAGGGTGGAAAACTTTCACTACATTAGACTATGTTGGATTAGGCAAATTTCTGCATTCTTAATCTAGTGGTAGTTCCTGTCACTGACCCCATATTGCGCTGTTCCCAGCAAGAGACTACAGAGTTCCAGTAGTGACCTAAATCAAATCTCTTATGATTATACAGTGGAAGTGACAAATAGATTCAAGGGATTAGATTTTATAGATACAGTTTCTGAAGAACTATGGACAGAGGTTTGTAACATTGTACAGGAGGCAGTGATCAAAATCATCCCCAAGAAAAAGAAATGCAAAAAGGCAAAATGCTGTCTGAGGAGGCCTTACATATAGCTGAGAAAAGAAGAGAAGTGAAAGGCAAAGGAGAAAAGGAAAGATATATCCATCTGAATGCAAATTTCCAAAGAATAGCAAGGAGAGATAAGAAAGCCTTCCTAGGTGAACAGTGCAAAGGAGTAGAGGAAAACAATAGAATGGGAAAGACTAGAGATCTCCTCAAGAAAATTAGAGATACCAAGGGAACATTTCGTGCAAAGATGGGCTCAATAAAGGACAGGACTGGTAGGGACCTAACAGAAGCAGAAGAGATTTAGAAGTGGCAAGAATACACAGAAGAACTATACAAAAAAGATCTTCATGACCCAGATAACCACGATGGTGTGATCACTCACCTAGAGCCAGACATCCCGGAGTGGGAAGTTAAGTGGGCCTTTAGGAAACATCACTACAAACGAAACTAGTGGAGGGGATGGAATTTCAGCTGAGCTATTTCAGATCCTAGAATATGATGCTGTTAAAGTGCTGCATTCAATATGTCAGCAAATTTGGAAAAATCAGCAGTGGCCACAGGACCAGAAAAGCTCAGTTTACATTCCAGTACCAAAGAAGGACAATGCCAAAGAATGTTCAAACTACTGCACAATTGCACTCATTTTACATGCTAGTAAGGTAATGCTCAAAATCCTTCAAGCTAGGCTTCAACAGTATGTGAACTGAGAACTTCCAGTTGTACCAGCTGGATTTAGAAAAGGCAGAGGAACCAGAGATCAAATTGCCAACATTCGTTGGATCATAGAAAAAACAAAAGAATTCCAGAAAAATATCTATTTCTGCTTCTTTGACTACGCTAAAGCCTTTGACTGTGTGGATCACAACAAACTGTGGAAAATTCTTAAAAGAGATGGGAATACCAGACCACCTTACCTGCCTCCTGAGAAACCTGCATGCAGGTCAAGAAGCAATAGTTAGAACCATACATGGAACAAATGACTGGTTCCAAATGGGAAAAGAGTATGTCAAGAGTACGTATATTGTCACCCTGTTTATTTAACTCTATGCAGAGTACATCACGTGAAATGCCAGACTGGCTGAAGCACAAGCTGGAATCAAGATTTCCAGGAGAAATATCAACAACCTCAGATATGCAGATGACACCACCCTAATAGCAGAAACTGAAGAGGAAGTAAAGAGCCACTTGATGAAGGTGAAAAAGGAGAGTGAAAAAGCTGGCTTAAAACTCAACATTCCGAAAACTAAGATCATGGTATCTGGTCCCATCACTTTATGGCAAATAGGTAGGGAGACAATGGAAACAGTGAGAGACTATTTTATTGGGCTCCAAAATCACCACGAACAGTGACTGCAGCCATGAAATTAAAAGACTCCTGATCCTTGGAAGAAAAGCTCTGACAAACCTAGACAGCATATTAAAAAGCAGAGACATCTCTTTGCTGGCAAAGGAACAGATAGGCAAAGGTATGGTTTTTCCAATATTCATGTAAAGATGTGAGTTGGACCATAAATAAAGGCTGAGCACTGAAGAATCGATGCTTTTGAATTGTGCTGGAGAACACTCTTGAGAGTCCCTTGGACTCTAAGGAGATCAAACCAGTCAATCCTAAAGGATATCAACCCTGAATATTCATTGGAAGGACTGATGCTGAAGTTGAAGCGCCAATACTTTGGCCACCAGATCCAAAGAGCAAATTCACTGGAAAAGACCCTGATCCTGGGAAAGACTGAGGGCAGGAGGAGAAGGGCAGAGATGGTTGGATGGCATCACCGACTCAATGGACATGAGTTTGGGTGAACTCAGGTAGATGATGAAGGACAGGAACGCCTGGCCTGCTGCAGTCCATGGGGTTGCAAAGAATCGGACATGACTGAGCGAGTATTGAAACGACGTCCAGGTTTTTTTGCCCAGTACATATAGGCACTCTAATAAAGGTCCAGCATAAAAGCTGTTTTGAAGAACAAGGGAGAGTGGTCATCGGCAGGGCCCTATAGCTCAGGGGTTAGAGCACTGGTCTTGTAAACCAGGGGTCGCGAGTTCAAATCTCGCTGGGGCCTACTGGGTAATACCTTAGCTCTTTTTAAAATCTACTTCACCAGCTACCCACCACTCTCGCGTAATTTGAATGCCAGCCGAAATTCCGCTAATTATAACTTACCGCCAGTTTGCAGATGTCCCAAATAAACAGTCGAGCGGAACACTTACTTTTAGGTTCCAATAGTAGGGGGCAAGGGCTGCTTTGCCATCCTGATTGTGGCAGAGTCGGTTACAAACTGCGGCAAGTGCTGCCAAGCTCCGAGGACGTCCTGGCTTTGTGGGACCACAGCAAGAGCCGTGGGGGCGGCCCGTGCCGCGGCGGGACACAAGGGCGGTGAGGAAAGAGATGGGATCGAACCCGCACACCCGCTCTGAGCAGGCCTGGAGTACAGAACCAAGTCCTCTCCCCAGCGTCCGCTGTCCCGATTAGGCGTTTGGGAGAATATAGGCTGTCCGACAAGGTTCCACGTTTCAGTGGGTTTTCGAACACTTCAGTATCAAAGCGGGAAAGTTACTGTCGAGACTCGTGTCACTAAATTTATTATTGACTCAAAGAATCTGTGGCTACCTCTTTGAAAACCTTAAAATAGTTTCTCCAAGAGTCAGTTCTCATAGAAACATTGGGCTCAGCCGTGTATTATACGTCACAGCCTCTCCCTCCGCTAGTCTGTGGACACGTAAGCGGAAGGGAGAAGCAGCTCGCTTGTGCAAATGCTCCTGGATTATGGAGGCAAGCAAGGGAAGTGAGGAAAAGGGAGGCCCAGGCCAGAGCTCTGAGGCCCGCCCTTCTCCTTGACTAGCCGCTGCGCGATCAGAATTGTATGTTACACCCCTCAGCCCTTAGTTTTCCAATGCCCGGGTGTCTGCTCCCACTTTAGACACACATCATCAGGCCAGGAGGCCCGGGGCAGCGCGCTAAGTGAAGACAACAGGCCAGCAGATCGCCACGGCTGGGGGCGGCCTCGAGATCCGCAGGTTCTAGGTACTCGAGTGAAGAGCTCACAGGTTAGGCCCGCTTGAAAGCCCCTCTCTGAAGCAGGAGAGTTCAGCTCTAGAGGGGTTGTCCGTAGAAGTGTGGATGAGGGACTTTCTCCTAAGCTGCTCGGCTACGTGGTACCCACACACTGGCAACTAGTGGGCTATTGTTCCGGAACCTCTGTTTATCAATGTTCTTAATACAAAATTTTAAGTAAATGCTGCTCGCGCTTCCTTCGATAGCTCAGCTGGTAGAGCGGAGGACTGTAGTACTTTCCAGAGTGGACATCCTTAGGTCGCTGGTTCGATTCCGGCTCGAAGGAAGAGATGACTGTTTTGGTATCTTGAAAGCGGTCCTGTTGGGTACAGCTTTCAGAAAAGGGGGAGTGAGCACTAACTCTTTCAACCATCTGAAGAAGTTCTGAGTTTGATGGTATAACTGAATTTAGGTTGCCACCTGAGGTTCAAAAGTTGAAGATCCAACACCACTCGTTGGTACTGAATATATATATTCTATTCTGCGATCCTTAGAGCTCTAATTTGCGGGACAGCCCCCTGAGACCTTCATTCACTCTACACGCACATATCCATTCAGTGGGGAGAGACTTTTAATTTATTCAACTGTTAACAGATTTCAATAGTTCCAACAACAACAACAACCAAAAAAAATTTTTTTTGAACTGGTGCAGGAAGGAGGAATAGGCTTTGATGTAAACTGGGATGTGACTGGGAAAGAGAATTTTAAACTGTGGAAACAACTTAAAGGTGGGGAAATGGAACATTTAATTCTCATTCAAGGAAACTTCGGGGGTCTGATCTTTATGAACATGCCCCAGACTGGTTCACCTACAATAGATCAGAATACTGGCTACCGGTATTTTAAGATGCCCGTCATTCCTGCCCCTAGGATTTTACACTCTCGCGAAGTAGTAGCAGTCGGACAGATACACATCCTGGGCATCTGTCCTGGTGTTCAGGACCCTACAGTCTTGCAATCGACCCCAGCTCGGGCCCTCAGGCTGCAACTCGGTTCTCTGCAGGTTCCCTCCTGTCTGGAACCCAAAGAGACTCCTCAGGGAGGGGCTTGTTGGAGCTCAGACACGGGGACTGACGTCTTGAAAAGCTGCCTCTTCTCACCCCATCTGGCGTCTGGAGGGGTCCAGGACGCGGATGGAGAATAAGTGAGGTCAGAGTCAGACGTGATACTTCATAAAGAACAGCTAATCAAAATCAAAGGTAAACGTCTACACAGAAAATAAAAGTTCAGAGCAACCACACGGCCAATTGCTGATGGAGAGGTAAGATTCAGAGATAATCTCTGGTGCTTGCTTTTGCTGTGGCTCGTTGGTCTAGGGGTATGATTCTCGCTTTGGGTGCGAGAGGTCCCGGGTTCAAATCCCGGACGAGCCCAGTTCCTTTTTCTCCTTTTTATCCCACCTTTGCTAATAGCTGAAAAAAGCTGTGCAAATTTTCCCGCTGTTCTGTGCAAATTTCCCAGCGTTCCTAACTGTTTTACAAAAGATGTACACTGATCGAACATAAGGTAGCTGGAGCTGGTTATGTGTGCGGGCCAAACTACCTGGCTTACTGGACTCTCGCCAGCCTGGGAGAGGCAGCCTTGTGGAGCAGGGGCCAGGGTCTTGCAGTCTGCAGGCCCCCTCAGGCCGCGTCCTCTTGGCCAGTGAGTATCAGGCTCGGACCTCCAAGCTCCATCTCAGCCCAGGCAGAAACCCTCCCGTTCCGCCTAGAACGGGGGTTGCTCTGACGCCTGCTTTGGAGGCGGGTCCTGGCGGGAAGCGCCTCCTGGGAGAAGTGGGGCGCTGTCCCAACTATAAAAAGCCTCGCACCCCGACCCTTCTCCACCTCGCTGCATCTTTGCACTTCTCCCGACTCGACGTCGTCGTTACAGGGAAGAAGCGGGTGAGAAAAACTTCTTTTCCACCGTCTTGCCCATTTCCGCAGACTTGTTCCGAGGCCGAGGTAGGTTCACACTCCCGCTCCTTCGTCTCCTCCTCCTTTTTTGGTAGCTTTATCCGGGAGTTTGGGCGAGACAGTCCCTTTTTAGCAGAGACAGTATGGAGTTCTGTGGGGAGGCGTTTGCGGGACTGGACTGGAGGGGCTGAGGAATGGAAAGCAAGGTGAAGTTCCATTCTTCTCCAGTTAGGGATCCCACATTCTTGTGCACAGTCTCTCCGTCCGACTCTACGACCCCAGGGACTGTGACCCACCCCGCTCCTCTGACCATGGGGATTCTCCAGGCAAGAATACTCGAGTGGGTTGCCATGCCCTCCTCTAGCCCACATTCCTACTCCGCTGCTTATTTTCTGCAGCTGAGCAGAGCTGCCAGCATGAAATGCCTGTTGCCTAGAACACAGGCTCTAAGCGTGACCGCAGAATTGGTGAACGGAAGGGAAATCCGAGGAAGGCTACACTTCCTCAGGAAAACAGAATGATCGCCAGATTTATGAACCATAACTTGTCAAGTTTTTGCACCCATAACTGACATTTGGGAACTCGTGTTTTCATTTTCTCCTCTGTCTTCTCCCCCTTAACCCACCTTCAGCCTGAGTTGTGAAATTCTTTGAGATACTTCGCCAACAACCTCTTCTCTAAGCTTTCTCAGTGGAACCTTGGGATCCTGAACTTTCTTACTCTGTGACAGCACATCAAATGATAACGACACAGGCTTATTTAGGAAGGACAGTAAAAGCGATTTTCAACAGTGTTTGGGGGCCTGGGGAAATCTCAAGTGAGCTGTAGGGGAGCAGAATTTGCCACCCCAAAATGTCTCTTTGGCATATAATTTTAACTTGGTTGTTTTCTAAAAAACAGCAGACAAGGAGAAAATCCTGAAAACATGGAAGGAGTTAACTTTTTGTAACAAGAAACATTTACATTTATAAGGGGAACCTCCATTTGTAAGATTGTCTCCCTTGCTGTACCCAGAAGAAGATGATGACCAAATCTCTACAAACTTGCCAGCTGGAGAAGGCAAAAACTTAAGTTTGCATAACCACCCTCGATTGTTTATTCTGCTTTTCCTGGTAACCTTCCATAGCTGACTCCCCACCCTCAACATCCTCTTTTGAGTCAAATTAGTTTGGCTTGGGAAAATCATTCTAGAAAAAGAGGAATGACTCTGGCTATTGTTAAAAGAGCAGATGTGAGTGTATAAGCAGTCAAAGCTGAGAGGTTTACCCAGTTACAGTTAGAAGCATTTGCTAGCATGATTAATAAATTAGATGGCTGAGAAAGTGGACCTCAGCAGGCTGGTGAAACCCCTCTTTAGTTTTTATTGAGTCTGTATTTGAGCAAACAACCTCTGTAAACAGCTATTCTCAGAACACACTGAAATACCTGGCAAAGAGCTGCTGCTGCTGCTAAGTCGCTGCCGTCGTGTCCGACTCTGCGACCCCATAGACGGCAGCCCACCAGGCTCCTCTGTCCCTGGGATTCTCCAGGCAAGAACACTGGAGTGGGTTGCCATTTCCTTCTTCAGTTGGGAAAGAGCAAATGGGCACAGAACCCAGAATCTGTTGAAAACTGGATGGCTAATGTTTGTTTTTATTTGGAAATATAGGTAGGCTAGTAGGACTTTTTCCCCCTTCTCCCTCAGTCAATAGTGTTTTCTACTTCCTGGAGGTAGAAGAGTGGTCCTTATTTCCATGTCGGTTTCATCCTCCTTTAACCATTGACTTCCGTTACTAAATAAGTTTCACACTTACAGACCTAACATTTTTTGTTATGAAGGAATTTGTAGACTAATCTCTTCCCTCCATCACCTACTTTTGTAATCACCCTTGGGGACAGAACTAAACATATGTACTCTGTATAAAGGGAAAGGTATACTAGCACCAAGTCCATAGAAGGAGAACCCATGCTTCCTGTGTCCTTGTGCAGGGAAACTATTGGCCTGAAGGAGAGAGTGAAAAACATTTCAAAATATGGGGGATGGCTTTAAGTTCAAGCTGTCAGAACACTTTTTAAATATATGAGCATTTTCTTCAATTGGCAATGCAATTGCTTCCCATCTATTGAAGGTAAGGTAAGTGAAATTACTTAGTCGTGTCCGACTCTTTGCGACCCAATGGACTGTAGCCTACCAGGCTCCCCCATTCATGGGATTTTCCAGGCAAGAGTACTGGAGTGGATTGCCATTTCTTTCTCCAGGGGAATCTTGCCAACACAGGGATCGAACCGGGTCTCCCGCATTGCAGGCAGACACTTAGCGGTCTGAGCCACCGTGGCACTTCCCATCTGTTGAAGTTACTGACAAAAAGATATAGCATTCATTAATCATAGATTATGGGTAGTCCTTTGGTATTCAACAGGAATTAGTTCCAGGACTTGCCAAGGGTCCTAAACCTGATGCTCAAGCACCTTATATAAAATGACATAGTATTTGTGCTAATATATAATCTGCACGCATCCTCCCTATACTTTAAATGATCTCTAGATTACTCATAATACTTAATACAATGTAAATACTATGTAAACAGTTGCTGGGACACAGTGAATTTAAAATTTTTCTTTTTAGAACTTTCTGGAATTTTTTTTCAAATATTTTCGGTCCATAGTTGGTTCAATCTGAGGATGGGGAACCAGTGGATATGGACAGTTAACTGTAGCTTCTCACTGTAGGTATTTTGAGTAAACATTTCAGTTCAGTTGCTCAGCTGTGTTGGACTCTTTGCGACCCCATGGACTGCAGCACACCAGGCTTCCCTGTCCATCATCAATTCCTGGAGCTTACTCAAACTCATGTCCATTGTGTCGGTGATGCCATCCAACCATCTCATCCTCTGTCATCCCCTTCTCCTCCTGCTTTCAATCTTTCCCAGATTCAGGTTCTTTTCCAATGAGTCAGTTCTTCCTATCAGGTAGCCTAAGTATTGGAGTTTCAGCTTCACCATCAGTCCTTCCAAAGCATATTCAGGACTGATTTCCTTTAGGATGGACTGGTTTGATGGCCTTGCAGTCCAAGGAACCCTCAAGAATCTTCTCCAACACTACAGTTGAAAAGCATCAATTCTTTGGCGCTCAACTTTCTTTAGAGTCCAACTCTCACATGCATACATGACTACTGGAAAAACCATAACTTTGACTAGATGGACCTTTGTCGGCAAAGTAATGTCTCTGCTTTTTAATATGTTGTCTAGGTTGGTCATAACTTTTCTTCCAAGGAGCAAACGTCCTTTAATTTCATGGCTGCAGTTGCCATCTGCAGTGATTTTGGAGCCAAAGAAAATAAAGTCTCTCACTGTTTCCATTGTTTCCCCACCTATTTGCCATGAGGTGATGGGACCGGATGCCATATCTTTATTTTCTGAATGTTGAGTTTTCAGCCAACTTTTCACTCTCGTCTTTCACTTTCATCAAGAGATTCTTTAGTTCCTCTTCACTTTCTTCCATTAGGGTGGTATCATCTGGATATCTGAGGTTATTGATATTTCTCCCAGCAATCTTGATTCCAGCTTGTGCTTCATCAAGCCTGGCATTTCACATGATGTACTCTGCATAGAAGTTAAATAAGCAGGGTGACAAAATACAGCCTTGACATAGTCCTTTCCCAGTTTGGAACCAGTCTGTTGTTTCACATCCAGTTCTAACTGTTGCTTCCTGACCTGCAAACACATTTCTCAAGAGGCAGGTCAGGTGGTCTGGTATTCCCATATCTTTCAGTATTTTCCACGGTTTATTGTGATCCACACAGTCAAAAGCTTTGGCATAGTCAATAAAGCAGAAGTAGATGCTTTTCTGGAATTCTCTTGCTTTTTTGATGATCCAATGAATGTATGTTGGTAATTTGATCTCTGGTTCCTCTGCCTTTTCCAAATCCAGCTTGAACATCTGGAAGTTCATGGTTCATGTACTGTTGAAGCCTGGCTTGGAGAATTTTGAGCTTTACTTTGCTAGCCTGTGAGATGAGTGCAATTGCACAGTAGTTTGAACATTCTTTGGCACTGCCTTTCTTTGGGATTGGAATAAAAACTGACCTTTTCCAGTCCTGTGGCCACTGCTGAGTTTTCCAAATTTGCTGGCATATTGAGTAAGCATTTAGATGCATTTTAATGAAATATTAAAATTTTCTTTTTATTTCAAAATCTTATTTTCTATTTTCATCAACTCATTGTGCCAAGGTGAAAAGAAAAGCAATTAGAATAAAAGTGATCATTCATTATTCACCAACTTGCTTTTGGCATTGTCAGTTCCATGGACGGATTGCTGCTGCTGCTGCTGCTATGTTGCATCCAACTCTGTGCGACCCTATGGACTGTAGCCTGCCAGGCTCCTCTGTCCATGGGATTCTCCAGGCAAGAATACTGGAGTGGGTTGCCATTTCCTTCTCCAGGGGATCTTCCTGACCTGGGGATTGAACTCAGGCCTCTTAAGTCTTACCTGCATTGGCAGATGGATTCTTTACCACTAGCACCACCTGGGAAGCCCAGGGATAGGTTGTGTATTCTCCAAATGTTTGTCAGGTAAAATCCAAGAGGGAGAGATAGGACTTGGCTGTGTTCAGAGGCTGGAGGCTGCCCGCCAGCATTACTGCATGACTCTAAAATCAGAGGCTGATCTGTTGTTTTTAGGCGATTTATCAGCGAAGGATGGGGTCGTGTTGATTAATTTGTCTTGATCCCCTTGGACAGTGGGAGTCGGCTGCTGCTTCCTGGTCCAGGGCTGCTAAGGCACTAAGGCTGTCGCAGGAGCCTGGCAGCCTTCTCCCTAACAAGTGACTGGTTGATAACTTTGTTTCAAGATCACATTATTTATATTTATAAACCTGAACTCTCTGATAAAAGATCTTCAGATTGAATCTCAAAGCAAAACCCAGCTTTATGGTTTGTAATGGTCGATAATTTTTAAAAACTCAGTTCTTCAGTGTGTGTTTAAAGAATGATGTGTGGGTAATTTAAAATAGGTGCTCTTACTATTTACAATAGCTAGAACATGGAAGCAACCTAGATGTCCATCAGCAG